CTGTATCACTTGAATTGGGCGGGTCAGTTACAAGCAGGCTTACCTGTCTAGACTTCTTATACTTCCACCATAGTTTCATAGTTTCTAGGGTCCGAAGGGACCTGAGTAGATCATCAAGTCTGACCCCCTGCCATCGCAGGAAAGAGTACTGGGGTGAAACGACCCCAGCAAGGTGTTCATCTAGTCTCCTCTTAAAGACCCCCAGGGTAGGAGCCAGCACCACTTATCTTGGAAGTTGGTTCCAGATCCTAGCCTACCTGACTGTGAAGTAGCGCCTCCTGATATCTAGCCTAAATCTACCCTCTGCCAGTTTGTGACCGTTATTCCTGGTCACTCCTGGCAGTGCTCAGGGGAACAGGGACTCCCCCAATGCCTGCTGGTCCCCTCTGACTAGTTTGTAAATGGCCACTAGATCCCCCCTCAGCCTTCTCTTGTGGAGGCTGAACAGGTTCAGGTCCCGTAGCCTCTCCTTGTAGGGTCTGCCCTGCTGCCCCCTGATCATGTGAGTGGCCGTCCTCTGGACCCTCTCCATGTTGTCCACATCCCTCTTGAAGTGCGGCGCCCAGAACTGGACGCAGTACTCCAGCTGCGGCCTGACCAGTGTCGCATAGAGGGGGAGGATCACCTCCTTGGACCTGCTTGAGATGCATCTGTGGATGCATGACAAGGTACGGTTGGCCTTCCTGACTGCATCCCCACACTGCTGGCCCATGTTCATCTTGGAGTCAATGATGACTCCAAGATCCTTTTCTGCCTTTGTACTGACAAGAAGGGAGTTCCCCAACCTATAGGTATGGTGCCGGTTTTTCCTCCCCAGGAGCATCATTTTGTACTTGTCGGTGTTGAATCCCATCCTATTCTCATCCACCCACCCCTGTAACCTGTCTAACTCCGATTACAGCCTATTCTCCACTTCTAGCATGAACCAAAAGATCAATAGTTGTCTATAAATAAATGCTAATGTACTGTGTTCACTAGGTTTTTATAATTTAGGAGACACTTAACAAAAATGTGTCAATAGATTTGACCTCCCAAATGTTTCATTCACTTGGAGAATTGTACAACGACACTGATAAAGTTTAAAAACAAAGCATTCATGCACTGGCAGTATTTGTACAAAACTGTTCACCCAGTGCAGGTGGTGATCTTATGGTAAAAAGGTTTAGGTAAATTCTGCAAACTTAGCTCCACTGACTTCAATGGAGTATTTGGCACCTTAAGGCAAGTGTTTTATATCTATGCCCCCTGCATATAAAAGAGGTGAAAAATGTCCCTTTTGCAGCTCATGTATGTTTTGGTGGCCTGAGAGAGGCATCTAGGGGATGACAAGCATGAGAAGAAGGTCTGAGCTCAACTTTGTTACGAAGTTGTTGATTTGATAAAGAAAATATGTATGGACAGAAAGAGAAGTGGATCCAGAGTCAGTGTAGTACAACTGCATGCCCTTTCAGATGACACTGTGGGAACAACAGCTGGATACATTTTTAAGCCCTTGCATTAGCTAAGAATCCCACCCCCCACCTCTTCTCTGTACTAAAAAGAATGCCCTCTTTCATTCCCCCCCACAATTTTCCTACCGTTGCCAGTGTCCCCACTGTCTCCACCTGTTGCAAAGGTGGGGGAAGCACCTGTTCCACTCTAGCTGGGCTGCATGAGGAACCTGGTGTAGCCTGGGACAGAGACAGCAGAGAGAGTGGATGGCTTCCCCCTCTCTTCCCACTCCCACTGTGTGTTCCCTTGCCAGCCCAGAAGCAAGCTCAGGGGGAGGAAAAATCCACACAGCACCACCTCTGCCCTACCCTTGCCTGACTTCCCACACAGACTGGCTGGGGCAGGGCAGGGGTAGCTCTGGAACTCCCCAACCCCTGGGGCAACCAGAGACAGTGGCAGTGGTAGGCAGCAAAAGGGATTAATGGGAAGGATGGGAAGGGAAGCTGACTCTGAGCACAGAGGGGAAGGAAAGAGGAGCAGAGGGGGAGTGTGTGGAGGTTCTTACATGATTTGGGGACTTTAAAAGTTCCCAGCTGCTACTCCTGTGGCATGATCTGCCAATCTTACTTGGGTGGAGACAATCTGGGAACAGGGGTAGAGCCACATCTGCAGCACCAGTCACTGCTCCTGCACTCCTATTTACAAAATACTAGACCCAACCAAGGACCGAAGGAATTTAGTGTCTCAGCTTGGGTCAAATGCATCTATTTACAGCTGTGTGAGCAATGGTTGAAAGAGGTGGGCATGCTGAGTTTATGTAAGGAGCTACTGAGGGAAAACATGATTACTGCGGACTAAGACTTAAAAAGGAACACTATAAAGAGACTCAACTATCCTAAAGATGGCAAATTAATATCAGGGATTCCACAACAACACTCCAACCCTACTTATCAGGAAATACTTGGACATGTCAGCTAAGACCATTGGAACTCACTGATACAGGAAATATTTGAAGTTCTTTATCAGGTTTCCGAAAGGAATTAGAGAATTATTGGTGCACTACAGATATAATAGTCCCCGCATACATAAATTTTGAAAGAAATATTAAGAACTTCATGCTTCAGGGCTTCAGCCTGTTAGCTGTTAAACCTTCCCTCTATCTCCTGACACTCTTCTGCATCTCATTTCTGTTTCAAAATAGATATGATATTGTTTTTACTTATACCACAGTGAAGGCCAGTGCATGACTAGTCATGAGAGCATAGACTTTTTTTTACATTTTCATGCGGAGGGAACACAGTGGAGTGTACAGTACAACACTGTACATATAATGCACATAAATCAGATCAGTAGAAACAACTGTTTTGCTATCATAGAAAATAATGTAAATTTTACCCTGTCAGGAGTTAAACGTGACCAAACATAAAAAGCCACTTTCAATGTTATTTAATACCTATCACCATTTTAAATGGAGTGTTATTTTACATACATTTCTTATCATATGGGTCTACAATCCATGTCTACAATCCATATTTTTTTCATGTGATCACTCTAAGTCCTTAGGCCATTAATCAATACCATGACATTCTTATCAAGGGCAGCAGATGTCATCCATTTCCCACTTTTAGGGACTTGAGTGTCTGAAGGAATAACAACTTAAAAACAGAGCTAAGATACAGGCTATGCTGCATTTTCTTTTAAGGTAATCTTCCAACTCTTATGTAAAATGAACTTCTTTGTAACCAAGCACATTTTATTTCTGTGAATGAGACTGGAGTTGTTATATTATTTCTGTGAATGAGGCTTTGGTTTTAGAAAGGTCATCATTATTTTTTCCACTTCTACACCTTGTTTAAAATAAGCAAATTAAATGACATATTCATCCCATTCTTTGCCCTGTTTTGGCTTTGTGAGATTTTATCTAAAGCAATAAGACCACTTTTAAAAATAATTTTTGAGACTGAAGAGTGCCATATTTATGAAAAACCATCTCAGATATACCCCCATTAAACCTGGTTAAGCCAGAGTTGTTGTTAAAGTCATTTTAGGCTTAGCATATTATCCAGGAGATCCTTCAGACTTACTGGCTTGGTGGCCTACGGGGTATTCAAAAATACCAAATATCCGAACTCCCTGTCACTGTTGCGGTAACATTCAGAAAGAGTTCTTTATGTTCAATATGGAGCAAACATATTTAAATAGTTCAGCTCTATCTACAAACTGGGCTTTCAGATTGGGTTTCTTCTTGTTTTTTGAGGGAACATTGACTATCTACCTCAAAACAGTGACAATGAAATAGTGTTTCACTGCATGCTGGAATGCCACCATTACACAAACTGGCTGCAATGAACAGCAGAGGTCCAATTCTGCTATACACCGGGCCCCTTGTGCCCACTGCAAAGGAAGTGTGGCACCATAAAAGAACAATACCCAACTGAAATGCAAAGTTGATCACTGTAATTCTAAAGCACTTGGTCTCTAAATGCCAATATACCAAAATAAAACAAAATAAGGGTGGGCTGAAAGCCAATATCAACTTAGAAGCCTTGCTGAAGTCTACTTGCTTTAAAAATAAAGTTTTTTTTTAAGATCCCTCAATTATTAAGAATGGCTGTGCATTCTAAGCACTGTGAATTTTGCCATGTTGCAATTTGAATGGAACATAGTGAGCAGTCAGCATCTTTCTCTTGTGCAGAAGGTAGATGTGTTTTTGTTTTGGATCCTATTTTGGTCTCCTTCTCCCCACCTCTCCCAAACAAAAAGCAAACCAAACCCAAGAGTCTAGTAACCCCTGGACAGCGTTATCATTTATTAGCTAGGAAATGACATTTTTACTATAGACACTGTACCAAAGTGGCTTATACCAAAATGGAATAACTAGTACATCCTGGTAGTATTCTAAAAAGCAGCTGTGTGCAATAAGCATGCAATTATGGCACATGGTGAGCAAGCATGCAGGGCGGGTATGTTATTTCACAATAACTTCATATCCTAAAATAGCTAAGATCATAGCCTGGCTTTTAAAAAAGAAGAAAACCAAAACCTTTTTGCCTTTATACCACCCCCCTTCTTTTTTAGTCTTACAAGGAAGTGTTGTTTTAATTAAGTTAGTTTACTCAGGTTAAATATAGTCCTGAGCCAGGCAATGTTAGCTTTGTGTTTATGGTAATGCTCACACTGAGAATACTTTAGAGTTCAGAATATTTATCAGCATGCTGAAGATCCACAAATACAGACACTTTCAAAAATACATTTGACACTGGTGGCAATAATTTCACCTTCTGATAAGGAATATTTTTAATAATCTAAAAAAAGAAAAATATATTTTAAAGGTGCAATTGATGCCCTGCTCCCTTCCAGCTAAACTTACTGCCTTCTTTCACAGTGGAATTGCACAAGTTTTGTTCCTGGAGGGAACTCCACAGCCATGAAAATGAGTAACGGGTTTACTCAAAGTTGTGAGACCCTGTCTACATTTAAGAGAAATGTAAAAAAAAAAAAAAAAGAAGAGACAAAAATACACAAAGACCAATCACCAAATAATATTTTCCCAAGAAAAAAAAACTTACAGGTCATTGTAGACAAGGCCATAAATCTGTGCCATGCTCTGATGATAGGCCCCTTTCAGAATAATTAAAAGCAGGATCACAACAAAAGCTGGAAGTCCCCAACTCAAAACGAAGAAAACCAGATAGCGCCGCTCTGTGTGTTCATCATTCATCACCAGGACATACCAGAAGTTAACAGCCTAAGGAATAACACAGAATATTAAATCAATGTGATTTAATAAATAATTAACTATCAATAAAACAAAACAATCAGAAAAGGCAGCATATTATATATTTTTGTATAAGGGTATATATAATATTTTCCAACAAAGATTCGTTCTCATTTTTCCCCCCTTGTGTAATGAGAAGAGGTTTGATTAAAGAAGAGGTAAAGTTACTTTGATAGTTAAACTTGGAATTAGCATGAGAGAGAGGAAGATCCAATTTATTGCAAGAAACATTCCATTTTTGCACTGCAAAATCTGTTTGCTTCTGGGCTTTCATTGTCTCAAAGAGAAGGTTGACGGATAGTTTTAGTAGAGGCCTGATCGCTATTAAAAGTTCTATATACTAATTTTTAGCTGTCTACATCTTTTTCTAAAATACAAAACAAACCCCTTCAACAGTTTGATTGTAATGTAGAAACAGCAGGGTCATATAAACTGCTTTAAGTGAACAGACATTCACTTTTGATTCAGGAAATGCAGCCACATGCCTGCAGTGGCCCAGGCCAGAAACCGGGGGCATTAGAACATACCTCCCTACCTGCCTTCCACTGCCAAAGGGAAAGGACTGAAGCTCCAAGGCTTTTCCCGCATCCCTGCTCAAGTGGAGGGGCCATGGTCAGGCCCCAGGCCCCAGCCCTGGGCTAGCACCTGGAGGCTGGAGGTTTAAATCCTGTCCCTGGCTGGGTCTGCCTGGGCGGGGGAGCAGTGCCTGCCAGGCTTCTGCCCATGTGCTCCCTGCTTGGGGGAGGGGGGGTAGGCAGCCCCTGCCAGGCTGAGGAGGGGATGGGTGGGGGAAAAGGTAGTGGCATTAAATTCATAAAAACCTGAACATGAATAGTCCTTGATCTGAAGCAAGCATGGATTGAACACAGCAATTTACAACCTCAAGCACAACACAACAAGAAACAGCCAAAAATCTTCACCTAAGCTAAGATACAGCCCAGTAAAACACAGTGACAGCACAGAAGAATTAGTATAATTTAAAATGGAATGTAATAAACCAAAAAGAAAAAAGAAAGCCTTGCATAAGTTATATATAATCCTGAGCATCTCCTTACAGCAAGGTATTCAGAAAGTCCTTCTTGGGGAATCAGCAGGTGTTGGAGTGGAGATCCCACAGGCCTCATCTCTACTTGGGTTTTTACAGGCACACTTGTACCCCCTTTCCCCCTTCCATGCTTTGACATTACTATGCTTGTCGCCTATACCAGACAGCACAGCACAGCCCAGGGATGCAAAGCATCCTGGGATGCTTAGGGACTGATTTAACTTGAACAAGAAAGGGGGCTGGGACCAATGTTTTATAAACTGGTTTGACCTAAATCAGTTAAGTCTGATACTACGTTCAGCCAGGTTTATCTTAAACCAGTTTCAGCTGTTTTGTGCACTGAGCTTCTGTTCTGTTACAGGTTTAAATGTGTTCCAGATCACTGAAACAGTTTGTGTGTCATTTCTGTCCCTAGTCATGGTGCTTACAGAAAGATTTCACCTTCCTTTGCACCTTTACAGACACCTTAACTGCATATGGACCCTTTGTGAAAGCAAATGCTTGATCACTCCCTTGCAATGAGTTAAGGTAGCTGGTGAAATGAAATTACATCTCAGCAGAAAAATGTAAGGATTTGAGTGTTATTTGGACTATTGATAAATATCGATGAGAAGGACAAAAGGGGGAATAATTTTAGTAAAAACTTATGAAAAATGCAAATAAATAAAAGTACATATTCATACACATCTCTAAAGTTATTTTACAAGAGTGTTTCAGAAAGTAATGACTTTCAAAATAAAATAATTTTGCATGCAATAATCATTTACTGGACCACATCACTTCTCTACATAGTCATAAATGATGGATACCTTTGACAATCCCTCCAACAGTATTTGCCACTACCATGCAATATCCCACTCATTGCATACGAAATGGTTATATTTAAAAATTTCTGTTACTTTTTGAAACACACTTGTATCTTTTTAAGTTTCCCTCATTATCAAATGGGGGCACACAAAATATATCATATTTGCAATGCATGAGTAGCACTTTGTAGCCCTACAAAACAGTGCAATTGGGATGTACAGGGGTTCCAGCACTCTGGCTAGAGAGCTACAAAGTTTCCTCAAAGGAGAGCCCTCCAGCCAAGGGGCAATAGGAGGCTGCTTCCTGGGTCCCCTGTCCCCAGGGAGCTGAGTCACTAGCAACCTGTCATTCCCTTGCCAGGGAAAGAAGCAGGCTGTCAATGACCAGGTGACAGTTGCTGAAAAGCATCTGCTGGCACAGACAAGCCCACTGCTACCTCGGGTGATGGACTGCTCTCCTTCCACCTGCCACTCCTGGTAGTCCTGTTGCTGCTCTCAAAACCTCACCTTTTGCCAGGGCTCTTGCAGTACTGCAGGAATTCTCTCACCTTAACCCTACTGCCCCCATTTCCCACTCCACCAATCATCAGAACTGCTCCTGAAGCCTTTGAAACAGCAGTGGCTGTCACAACAGGGTCCCAGCAGGCCTCCCTGACAGCTTGCTGCTGGGTGCATTATCAGGGAACTTTCCCTCCCTCTAGGGGAAGGAGAGCGGAGAACTGTGGTATGTTGGGGGTCCTGGAGACCCCTTTAACATTACCTGTAATTGTATAGGCATTGTGTGTAGTGTTGCAAAACCAAGAAGCTCCTCTTTGAAAGAGTAAGTATTCTGCAGTGTTTTTTCCATCTTTATAGTGGTACAAACAGCTTGAATGGCTGTATGCTTGTTTTTTTGTAGAGCTCCAAGGGCACTTGTAGCCCTACAAATGTAATGCCTGTCCATGGTCTTAGAGAACAGGCCATCAGCAAGACTATGAATAGGAAGTTAATAAAATTCTGCAGCACTGCTCCCCCATCATTAAAATTACTATAGTTTGAAAGCTTGTCTTGTTTGTTTTTTATAGTTGGTCCAATAAAAGATATCACCCTAAGAAATCCTTGCCTCTCACAATAGTCCAGAAGATATATTCCATCCCCAATCACTTTGTTTAATACATGATTACATACACACAAAATAAAAGGTCCAGCAAATTATTAGGTTTTTTTTAACAAATATCTCTAATGGTACCCATTCATGTTACATATTTAGCAACAAATTTTTTCACTTTCTTCCATCTTATAGAGATTATACTAACCTGCGCTGAGGAAATAATTTATATCGTTATTTCTGGCCTTTTATTTTGTGAACAGATTATCCACCAGTAGATTCCAAAGTTACAAAATACATCAGTTCAGACTTATTTGTGAATTTCATTAACCAAATATTTTGAGTTGCACTTCATTCAAGTGGTAAACTGAATTCTGGAAATAAGTATTCTGGTTGCGCTTTCTGGGATGGATTTGTAAGGATTATGGATTAAGTTCTTGGTATTGTGTTTGTCTGCTGATTTATATAACTAAGTAATGGAAAAAACACTGTATATGATATACACAATCCTCACATTGATGGTTGAATAATAATATTATTAGTCAATGAACAAAACCAGATCACATAAGCTGGCTAATTAAGGAATGTAACAAAAGTTACTAATCATACAGTCAATTGCTGAGCGTTCCTAGAAAAGAAACATTATATGAAAATAGAACTGAATAAGGACTCACTTTGAATCTGAAAGAATATTTGTGAGAGGATTTTTCCATTGCCCCTGAGCTTTCTCAATAACTGTTAATGTCTCACTTTATAAATAATATTAATTACTTATGTCAGAACCTGTCCTTGTCATCTTCTGCAAAGGAAAGAGATTTCTTTTTGTGATGGGGAAGAAACGTAAGAGTAATGGAAAACTGCTCTTCTGTAAAAACTGTCAAACTACACGGCCTTCTTGTCATACCTAAGCCTGGTTCAGTATGAGGACTGCTGACAGGACACCCTTGAACTGATTTATGCTATTAGTTCAGCTTGGAGGTTTATGTTTTGTCAGGGACTATTGGCTCTGTTAATTTTGACTATTAGCATGATTGTTCTCAGTCATGAAATTCAGCTTGTTTTTAAGAAGTCCTGCCGTATGTCCTTGTCCTTGTTTTCTCTATTTATTTAGTCAGCGTTACCTATCTTATCTAATTTATCACAGAGATTATACTGCTCCAGTAGTCCTTGCAGAGCTTTAAGGCAATTTGGTCAGTTTACCATTTCCGGAGCAGCGTCATTTTTATCTTGATAATTACAAGCCTCTTGTCTTCAGTTTCTTTTGATGTTCCAAAATTAAATAAAACAGTAGAGTTAATTTTAGCAAATGTTTTCCTGTTGCTATGCTGTAACAATAATCAGTTCTACCAAGGAATAAGATGTACGGTCCATTTCTCAGCTGTTCAGGTGGAGGAACTAATGCACAAGCTGTGATTGTTCAGAGGTTCAATACAAAACAATTATGCATTAATATAAAATCATAATAAGATAATGTTCATCTTGGTGGGGTTTTTCTTCTGGAATGAAACTACTGATTGTAGCTACCGTTCAAAATGTAATATGTTTTTATGACTACTTTTCTGTTTCTTTTCATAATGGAGCTATACATATGCTTGTAAACAACATTATATAGAAGGCTTCCCCTTTTCCAGTGCATATGCCCATACTATTTAAAAATGGATATTAATGGAAGGGTTTTATTACCAGGGTGTGGCAGGGCACTGTTGGTGCCTGCCACTTTAGGGATGGAACAGGCAGTAGCCAGGTGCTTGAGTACAGTGGCTATTTTGCGACCCAGGATATATAAAGCGTGAAGCAGCAGTTTGCTTCTGGCAGCCGTGAGACAGATATCAGCCAGTGGAGCTGAGGCTCAAAAACAGCTTGGAGGTTTATGGGCTGGGTCTATGGGGATGGAGGAGGCTCCAGGTCCTGGGCATGACCTAAAACTGCACCCTGCCAGGGATGGGTGGCCTAGTGGAACTGTTCATGGTGGAACAGTTCCCCAGAAATGCCAGGCTAGTTACCACCCTCGTGAAAGCCAGGTCAGGGGTGC